AATTACTTGTATGAATTTACTCGAAACCCACTTTCCTTCCCATTTGATCTTGAAGGTATACAATGAATCCTGAATTTGTCTTTAATTTCAAACCTATAATCCATTTTAGTTATTGGATTCCCAATTAAAAATTTATACATATTTAATGGATCAACAAATTTTCTAATATATTATACGTTTGCCAACTGTTTTTATTTTATACGACAGAGTGAAAGGTTATTTAAGTTAATTCTTCTCAATAGTAATAGCAACAATTAATAATACGTTAATTAGACGGAAAATTTAATTGATTGTTAGACTAAATTAAACATGTTAATCTGTTCAGGTGTGATTCATCAACACACATACCCCTTATAAATTACTTAAGTATTTTCCCTAATTCAAGCAATTTGGTGAAAGATTGTATCAATTTCATATGGAGTATATTTTTTCGCTTCAGGTCCATAAGCTAATAGACAGATAAAATTCCTAAATAGGAGAATTTTTATTGAGAAAATATTTAAGGCTTACATCCTAATAAATTGTTTCTGTGTTACTAACATCTAATTACCTCCATTAGCAGGTTTTTTGAGCTAATATATAAATTACATGGAAAGAAAAATTTTAAAGTGAAGATTGAAGAAACTTTGATGAAATGGAAATAATTACTGGTCAGCAACTTGAACTAGTATTAATTACATTTAAGAATTTCATATATTATCATCCCCGTTTCTTACCCCACGACATCATTATCTAATTAAATGCTGGTTTATGAGATCTTTACAATAACAATAATAATAACAAATCCGATGTAATCCCACAAATGGAATGTGGGGAGGATAGTATATACGCAGTACCTTGTGAAGGTAGAGAAGTTGTTTACGATAGACCCTCGGTTTAGGAGAAACATACTCACAACATTACTTTAGAAGAAAACAATAGTGCATAAATCATGAAAAGGAAAAAGTAACACGAAATAATAACAACAACATGATAACAAGAAAATAAAGCAAAAGAAACAAATGGTAATAATATAATACAAGTCTAATATGAGAATACTATTGATCCTACGTGTAAGAAAAGGATACACTCGCCATTACCTACTAGTCTTCTATTCTAATTCTCGATCTTCATATCTTCCTATCAAGCAGTGGCGAAGCCAGTAATTTTGCAAAGGGCGTTCAAGTTTTAATTCACACATATAAAAAATATTTTTTGATCTATGTATGTGATATAAGTTTCTATATTCACAGTATATTTTTTCAATTAAGGGTGTTCAGTTGACCACCTTTCAATGTATGTGGCTATGCCACTGCTATCAAGGGCCATAATAAATGATGAAAAGTGCATATTTTATGTATATTTTCATATTAATTCTTGTGTGAGTCGCGGAAGTTAAATGATTTTTAAAGTAAAATATGCTCATTGCATGTTTTATATATAGGAATGAGTTAGGATGAAAGTAGGATCAAATAAAATAAAATATCACAAAACATAAGTGAGGTAGCAAAAATTGGCAGCTCGTCTATGCCCATGCATCGCGCGAGGGCAAACGCACCAAAGAAGACAATTGCAAGCACAAAACAACGAAGTGAAGCGAAGGCACGGATCGCTTCGCGAACTGAAAAATTACAAAAGCTGAGTCCGCGTCCATGGGCACGCGACATGCAAAGGCAGACGCGGATTCCAACTCTCTTATCCGAGATTGGATTGTATTGGATGGCCATCCACCCTACCTAGGTCATATAAATACACACTAAACATGATTTTTACATAACTTTAGAGGAGGAGACACTACTTTAGGGTTACACAATACCTTTGGAGGCAAGAATACACTAGGAACAAGGAGGATGATTCAACCATGAGTTTTTCCTTTCTTCTTCCTGTTTTCTATTATTGGTTATGAATTTTAGTATTGTATTTTTACATACTACTATAACAACAACAACAACAACAACAACAATAACAATCCAGTATAATCCCACTAGTGGGGTCTGGGGAGGGTAGTGTGTACGCATACCTTACTCCTACCCTGGGGTAGAGAGGCTGTTTCCGATAGACCCTCGGCTCCCTCCCTCCAAGAACTCCCCACCTTGCTCTTGGGGTGACTCGAACTCACAACCTCTTGGTTGGAAATGGAGGGTGCTTACCATCAGAGCAACCCATGAGTAGCTAATTTATTGCTTAGGGTTTTGATGGAACCTTTTGGAGGATGAATTCTTATTAAGTTTAAATATAATTTAGCCTTTGAATTTCTTTACTTGTTCAACTACGTGCTTATTTCTGTTGATTGAATGGTCATCAATTGACTATGCCTATTTATTATGTATTGCTTGGGAAGGATACATGTTTAGGTAGTTGTTGAACAACGCCACTCCTAATATATATGAGGAATCAATGCGGCAGGTTTAAAGGTGGATTTAGGAATAACAAAGCCTTGACGTGGTCACAGTGAGCGGTAAGATTGTGCCAGCTAGTGTAGTTCGGGAGAATATGCATAGTAAATTGTTGTAGTTGCTCGGGAGAGAATTACGATAACTGAAATACTCACGATTAATAGAGAATAATTAGGGGAAATTATAGGAGACATAGCGGGAAGGATTCAGATAATTGAGAAAATCATAACTTTAGACCTCCTTCATCTTGTCTCCGGACCTTAGTATCTTTAGTTGTTAATTTACTATTTTAATTTGTTAGTTAATTAGTTAGACATAAGAATCTTAATATTTATAACTTAGGAATTGTTCAAGCTTGTCTTCTTGGTGATAGTGAACAGTTGTAGCTAAACCTTAGTTCTCTGTGGGATTTGACTCCGGGCTCTTAGACCGGATTATATTTGCAGCGACTGCTTATCCTCTTTAGGACTAGAGTTGGGCGTGATTTGGCCACATATCACCGATAAACTACAAATATGTCATATCCGGCCTTATCACCTCTCCTGAATATCTTAGCAAATGCTATGATTATAGGATCTTTGTAAAATGGAATACACAGGAAAAGTGGTATGTAATTGCTATACATTAAAGGAGGGCTGCCAGTACATAATTTTGACAAAGGCAGCAAAATTGAAATATCAATAATGGAATCTTGAGTTGGCACCTCTAATTGCCAGCAAATGAGAAGAAAATGGCATTGTAATGGTCACTATCGACTCTTTTTTTCAAAAGTCATTTTCGACTTTAGCTTTCTCAAAAGTTAGAAAATGAAATTTTAACAACTTTTTGCAATTATCATTCTTATCTAATTAGTTTTATTTTCCTAACTAATAACATGAAGAAAAAAAATGAACTTTTTCAAATATTACTTAAGTTTCTGAAAATTAAATAAGTCCAGAAAAATACATTTAAACGTAGTGTGTTAGTTGAATTTTGAACACTTTTTTGATAAGAAATTAAAGATATAATACAAAAAAAAAATGCACCAATATAGTGCTTCATCACGAATTAGCAACACACAACAGTAATAATTAATATTTCAATCCCAAATAAGTTGAATTGGTTATATGAATCATCAATAATCATGTTTCTTATTGAAAAAAATGATTATGCTTCTCCATTTAAATTTATTATTTCATTTCTAGCCAATATTATATAATAAATAAATCAAATAATTCTGACCTATTAATAAATTCGATAATACTATTTTGGAGTACGTAAAGAAAAATTACAACTAATCCATCTTGTGTTAATCGTAAGAAAACATTATTCAAAATCATTGTTCCACGTAATATTCATGTATATGAATTTGTATTCCTCATTGTCAAATTACAAACTTCGAATGAGAAAAGTTTCAAATATAAATCACTAGTACTATAATTATAGAAATTTTTGAGGGTCTGATAGTAATATGATAATAGTTGGGGACCCTGTGAGAATGAAAGAAGATCTCATAGCTGGAGACTCAATTATGGAGATTAGTGGTCGCCGGTCGGTTACTATTTTAAGCAATATTTCTGAAATAGAAGAAGACAAAGTATATTACAAATGGGTTGCTATTAATTTTTATTTATTTTTATACTTTTAAATTTTTTCAACAAATGAAAAATCCCTATATTTTGTTTTATATATTAAGTTATTTGTTGCAAAATATTAGTAACTCAATTTTGGTCATTTTACATTATCACTTATCAATATTTTATTAGCCAAAGGGCAATATCTTCATTTCCAGATTTCTAAAGGCCTAAAGTATTAATTTCTCTATTTGTGTTATTTAACTACTTTTTAAAGAGTCGTAATAAATATATTTTTGTGTTACTTATTTATTTCGTATTAAATTACAAAAATAGCAACAATTTTGCCTGGTTGTTCCCACAAAAGTTCTCAGTAATCACAACTAGGCATCTGAGAACTTTGTAGTGCATGATTTCTTTGATTGTTGAGCTTAAATACAATATTTAATATTTCATTGGTTCCAAAAATGATAATGCTATTTTGTTTTACTGTGTTTAAAAACTAATAATGTTTTTAAAATTTAGAAATAATTCAGAGCATTTTATTTTATATCTAGTGATAAACTTTTATAGTCACTCAAATGTTATGATTTGTATACGATCACAAGATTCAAAAGTCTCCATTTCCTACTTTCTTAAATAAATATCATATCCAGTCAAACTACGCAATATAAATTAAAACAGATTGATAATATTTATCTATTCTGTAAAGCTATGTACTCATTAAAATGAATGCACGCGCAAAGTGCGTACCCTAAAATTAGTTTATAATAATATAGGGGTATTTAAGGACCTTTTCCGTAAATTAAATCTATACAATATACAGTTATTTAAAAACAACAACAACAATCTAGTATAATCTCACTAGTGGGGTCTGGGGAGGCTAGTGTGTACGCAGACCTTACCCCTACCTGGGGTAGAGAGGCTGTTTCCGATAGACCCTCGACTCCCTCCATCCAAGAACTCTCCGTCTTGCTGTTGGGGTGACTCGAACTCACAGTTATTGAATAAATGAAATAATATCACTAGGGATATTAACGACATTTCAACCACATAGGAAATACACCTTACATCTTAAATAAATTCCGATGATGATTTCAGACATATCCCTCACACACACATTTTGTCAAAAAAAAACATCATCGGAAAATCAACATGTCGTGGCAAACTTACGTCGATGAGCACCTTTTGTGTGACATCGAGGGCAACCACCTGACCGCCGCCGCTATCGTCGGCCACGACGGCGCCGTTTGGGCTCAAAGCTCCAATTTCCCTCAGGTCTTTCATCTATTTTCCCATTTTTGTGATTTAGCGAATTATTAGTAAAGATTTTTTTTTAAAAGTTCAATTTGCTTTTGATGATAAATCTAGATTGGTTTATTCAAATCCGATCCAAAGTCGTTTTTGGTGAAGCCGTTGACTTGAGGAGAATTTAGTTGACCATTGAGATGCTTAGTTAATATTGAAGAGATCTTATTGTTATTGATTTTATAGTCGCTTTCTTAGTCGATGGTGAGTAGAAGCGGATCCAGAAATTTAATCTTAGAGGAGTTCGATCTTTAAGGTTGTTAACGGAGGTGGATCCAGTATTGAAATTTAATCATTTCAATTTCGCATTGAATTAATTATACTGTTAAAATTATGGGTTCAAATCTAATATTTTGATGAACCCGTAGCCGAAAGGCTACATCCGCTTCTGGTTGTTAACATAGGACTCATTTTGCTTTTAAAATTATGGGTTCAGATCTAATATTTATTATTTTAGATAAAAGTTCAGATCTAATATTTGTTGAAATTTAGGATCTAGAGTCGTTGCGTTCAGAATGAATGCTATTTTATTATATGTATACATTATTTATTATTTTGGCATATGTTTAGATAGTTCGAGCCAAAAAGTAATGGATTCAAATGAACTAACATAAGTCGCACTAGATCCGCCTATTGATATAGACTTGATTTTGACATATCAATGTGTGAATAGACAAGAACAATTGTTTATGAATGTGTTTTCCTTCTAATTCTGCATCTTACCTCTTTGTCGATGACTTTGTGTAACTTATTGATATTCATGCTGTTGTAGTTCAAACCCGAGGAGATTAAGGCCATTATGAATGATTTTGAGGAACCCGGTACACTTGCTCCTACTGGCCTACATCTTGGTGGCACAAAATACATGGTCCTTCAAGGTGAAGCAGGTGTTGTCATTCGAGGAAAGAAGGTATATCTTTTATGTACATTCGGAATGTTGTTGAAATGAAACTGCAAAAAAATAGGTTTTGCATACTGTTTGAGCTAGTAGAATGCAGTTGTCTGATTTTCTTTCTATGCAATTTAAAGAATGTTTCTAAAATGCAAGATCTTTTCTTATTTGTTGAACAACCAGAGCCTGTCGTACCCCGTTTCAGAAAATTGAGGATGATACTTAATTCGAGATTATTATGTAGAACTGAATGGAGAATTTCTAGTACTTTTTATTTTTATTTTGGATAAGATTGATCTAAGTTACTACCTCGAGTATAATTGTTATCTTGGCTTCGGTCTTCTCTTTTTATCTTGTTGTTGTTATTACTTGTTGCCTTTACTTTTTTCCATCCTTTCTTTAGTCGAGGGTCTATCGAAAACAAACTCTTTGCCCTTCCAGGGTAGGTGTAAGGTTGCGTATATCTTACCCTCCCCAAATCCCACTTATAGGAATTCAATGGGTTTGTTGTTGTATTATATTGATCCGAGATGAGCGTAAATGGAGCTATATGGATAGTGATGATTCATATAGCCGACCCAACCTGTTTAGGAGTGAGGCGTACTTGTTTTTGTTGTTGTAATATGTACAACTGAATCAAGTGTTTATTGGGAATGCCTTACTTCAAAAGGCTGATTGTGATATTTCATTCTTTTTTATTCAGGGACCGGGTGGTATTACTATCAAAAAGACTAATATGGCTATACTTATTGGCATTTATGATGAGCCAATGACTCCTGGACAGTGTAACCTGGTTGTCGAGAGGCTCGGCGATTATCTCCTTGAACAAGGTTTTTAATTTACCGGTAAGTGTTATTCACCTTTGGTTTCCTTTGATATTTTCTGCAAGATTGAATTTCTAATGAACTGCCATTTATTTGAAATGGTTGCAGAATTTTCTTTCAATATGTTTGTATTGAAGTTTGTGGTGTTTGCTGATAATGGATACTCAAGAATTGGGAAGTGGTAGATATGATTACTTTCTGGATTCAAACAGTTCTCTTTGTATTTTGGTTTTGCAAGAATTGATTTAAATTATTTTCAAGTGAGACACTCGATTATTTTTGAGTTGAATGTTATTGGTACTTAAAAATGGATTTCACTTTTTGGTTTGTGTAATATACAGCTCCTGGATTTCACTTCCTCATACATGTTTAGCTTCTGTTTCATACAAAATGTTTCTATGTATGTCATTGGGTGCTTACTATCTCACCATTATATATATATATATATATATATATATGATAGTTTTGCTCACTTAAGGGCTTCTGCTGATACTGAATTACGTTCTTCCATGATTTTATCCACTTTGACCAAATTAGTCACACCTTTAGTTGCAATCTTTCTTTGTAAAACTTTAGTTTAGAAATATGCTGCACATCTTATTCAAAGGGCCAGATCGTCTTGCTTTCCTCAGCTGCTCAGCATAGCATTTCGTATTAGTCCACTCCATCTTTGGGCTCTGAATCACCTAAAGTTCTGTGGGTCCGTCAGAAATAATCTAATGAACAACGGTTTTCGCCGTGAATGTTCCTCGTTTTTAGGTATTTTAGGGCTATAAAACTGAAATTCAGAACGATTTTCAAATTTTCATGTGCTAGTGTCCATGCTATATTCATGAATTCGGGCGACGGGTTCTGACTCGCCGAAAATTTTATGGGAACATTAAAAATAACCTAATGAACAATAATCATTGTTTTGCCATGATCAATCCTCATTTTTTGGCATTTTAAGACCATAAAACACGAATTCATGATGAATTCCAATTTTGCGTGTGATAATGTCCACGTCTATCTTCATGAATTCAGGCGACGGGTTCTGAGTCACCTAAAATTTTATGGGCACATCAGAAACGGCCTAATGAACAATAGTTATTGCTTTATCATGTTTGTTCCTTGTTTTGGTGTTTTATGCCATAAAACAAGAATTCAAAATGATTTTCATCTTCAAAAATTCAGGTGACGGGCTCCGAATCGCCTAAAATTGTGCGCCCGTCAGAAACGACCTACTGAACAATAGTCATGTCTTCACTGCAACCATTGCTCGTTTTTTGCGTTTTAGGGTCATAAAACAGGAATTCAGGACATCTTCATGAATTCGGACGACCTAATGAATAATAGTTATCGCTTCGCCACGGCTGTTCCTCATTTTTTAGCATTTAGGGCCATAAAACTCCTCATTTTTTAGCATTTAGGGCCATAAAACAGAAATTCAAGATGATTTCCAATTGCTCTTGTTCTAATCTCCATAATTTCGGTCGAAAACTTGAATGGTATTATGAACAATGAGTTTGTTGTATTAATATTGAAAACTTGTATGGTATGCTTCCTCTTAAATGAACTAATAAAATCGTGGAGCTGACAACATGCCAACGTTTCTGATCTTGAATTTTCAAGATTGCATTTGTTCTAAAAGTGATACTATGTAACCTGCTTTTTGAAATACTAATGAATGCGACATGACCAAAGTAAAACAGTGTAATACTAGCTTAACAGGATTCATGATTCACTAAAATGAATTAGTACCAAGTTTGCTAGCCAACGAATCAACAAAATAGTTTACTAATGTTTCCAGTTCGAATAATTCGGGTTTCTTCTATTTTACATCTCTCAAGTTTCAACACCTTGGCTATCAAACAAAATTTGTGCATCTGTGGGAGGGAATCTGCAATACATTTGAGAAGCAATATTTGTAGCCTTCTCAAGAAAACTTATGATTCCTTGCACTATCCTTGCTTCGGATCAATCTTCGGTCCATTTACTCGAGACTTCTCCAACCAAGTTATATCAAAAGGGTACCAGGAGGAACAAAGGAAAAGCTATAAGTAGATGTTGAGTCCACCCCGAACTCCTTTGAGGGGATGATGAAGACTTGGTAGGACTAGCCGTTGCATTACTAGCGATAGCCTTTTTACCCCTGTGAATTAGAATCAAAAACGAACATTACAATCAAAGGGCAAGAATACACTAGTATTGTGTAGTTGAAAAATGATTTAGTTCGATGTACATACCCCATGGTCGCGTAGAGACAGTTGTCATAACCTGCATTGCAAAGGGCAGCACAGTCAGATGGGAACATATTGAGGAATTCTCTGAAAAACTCTTAACACAAGGAAGATATCTTGCATCCTTTACTCAAGAATACAGCACATGACCAACAAAAGTGACATTTCAAATGTCATTTTGTTTACTCAGCAGAGGCAACTGAATTTGTGTTTGTCCATATCAGCAAATTCATCAACAAACTTTTTTTCTGATAACCAAGTGTTCCCCAAGGGCCAGTGGCATATAGTTCAAAACTCGGTGGATAATGGCCCGCCGCTTTACCCTTCTCCACTTAAATACTATATCTATGGCAAGATTCAAACCTGTGACATGCACCTAACCCACACATCACACGGTGCATTTACCACTAGACCAAAGGTCTGAAGACAAAAATTCATTAACAAACTTAGAACATCAACCTAAAGTTATTAATGTCTCAACTACAAAAATAGGCCGTTCTTCATCAATCCACATACATGACAACATCCAGGTAGCTGTTTCCACAGTATGTGGACTACATTAACAATTGACACTGAAGTAATATGAGCCGTTCTGCAGAAAACATACTTATTGCTTCTGTACATCCACCATACCGGCTACATTAACGATTGACACCGAAGTAATATGAGCCATTTTAAAATTTGCCGGCGAAAATATAGATGGATATAAGCAGCAACTTCTGAGATAGTTAAATAAATCCGAATTTTTTACTGTCTTTGACTAGGAAGATTAAAGACAAGACCACATTTAAGGCAAAGAGATATAATCCTAGATTCATAAGATTTACTACCTGCAGTCTATATATGTGAAAATAGACTTGGGTGAAGAGTTGACCATGTTCTATGCATTAAAGGAAGAGAATGAGATGGATCTTTGTTTACGTACTTGGGTTCTTATTCGTTCTGACGCCAACCCCTCCAAAACTGCAAGCAATGTCAGTAGCTCCATTTTGCTGGTAGTAACTATTGAATGCATAAGATGCATGAGATGCAGTGTTATCAGGCTCAAAACAAGGTTGGCTAGGTTGTATAGCGGAGCAGTCGACATTTCCAGAACCGCAAGCCCAACTCAAGGCATTCTGAAGGTCAGCTTCAGACGCAGAAGATGAAGCGATGCACCAGGTTCCATTTGAACTGGTAGCGTTTCCATCTGTAGTCACGTCTATAGCACCCTTTCCAGTAAAATCAAGGTTATATACACTTGTCTGGTCCGGGAAAAATAAACCCCAGTTCCTCTCAGATGCTAAACCAGGCTTCCTGTTCTCATTGAATAACGAGAAAACGTAAGTATCAATTGCCACTCCTGGCTTAGCGGGAGTTCCAGTATTGTTGATAACATGTCGAATCAAATTTGTGTTGTAAGTCTGTGCATTATCTGGAGTTGCGGCCGTCTCTTTTGGAGATCCTTTAGATGGCCAGCCTGTCTCAGTGACCATGATATTAACTGTTTTGAAATTTAGACCCATTAAAGCATAGTTAATAGCATCAAGCTGGGCATCGAACATGTTCGTGTAGAGTAGACCAGTGTTGGAATCAATCACTTCGGAAGATGCCTCGAATAAAGCATAGTCTAAGGACACATTAGTCGAAGAATCTCTATATGCGTAATATGGATATAAGTCGATCATAAAAGGTGATTGATTCTCTGCAAGGAATTCCAACATGGGTTTGAGAAAAAAGGCATGACTACTGTTAAATGCACCTGCGGAAGGTGGGAATGACCGGGATAATACGCCCAATGAATGTGTACTAGAGACTTTAATCCTCTTATGAAGACGAGCTTTTCTCAACGCCGTCAACACATTTTGCATTGCAGGTACGACCAGCGCAGATGTACTATTTGGGGCTTCCGTGAGTTCAGCACCAACAGTTATGTAAGTGATTTTTGTGGCTGGATAGTAAGGAAGTATGCTGTTTCTTAACCATGTATTAGCATTGGACTGGAACTGAGCGAACGCCAACAAGTCTGAGTTTGGAATTCCAATCATAAGCTCAATTCCGGTGTTCGCAAAGGCCTTGAGGACCTGGATATTAGAGTCGTACATCCTTACATATTTAATGTTGTGCAGTTGAATGAGCTGCACAACTTTATCAGGCGTAGGAAGATCATCCGCATTTCGTCCGTAGCAAACTCCAACTTTGCTTGCTCTGCAAATGCCTGCCATTTAGTGAAGAATGATCAGTAGACAGCAAAGGAATATTTAAGCAAAGATGAACAGATCTCATATTCTGACTCAAAGATTTCAGTTAGTCTCAAAGTTCATCCTTTTGCTAACTTCGTCGGTAAAACAAACCCAAGTGAAAAGTACCAAATACTAGCAGGAACCGTAACCTCCAGAAAAAAGTAAATTAATCACACGACATTTGATTAACTGTTCCACACTGTTACTTTCCATCACGACACATTATTTAACAACAAATTCAAGATCTTGTTATCGTACAAACTCAATTAACACTATTAATACACTAACAATGTGAAAAAAATCTTCATGCCATTTGTGTGATTTGACGTATTATAGCAGGATACTTACCATTTAAATTATATTACTAATCAACGCTCATTAGTATATAAACTGGTCCATATTGTCACTTTCCATCATCGCACGTTATATAATTATCAACAAATTCTTTACACCATCCGTGCATACAACTTAAACTCTTGTAGTAAAGCTAAAGGAACAGCATTAGAAATACAACCACCACTACTTATTAAAGCCAGCATTATTCAAAGTAGACAAAACAGTTGCAACACATTATTAATGCATAAATAATGGATCAATAATGGTTCAGCTAACAGGTTCTGTCGTTTTTCACATTTTTTTAACAAGTCGTGGCGAAGAGAGTTAAAAATAGGAGAATAAAAAAAAACATAACACCAGAACAATATAGTTCCTTTAACACATTTATACATGGTACTAACATAAGCAGGAGCAAAAACATGGTACTAACATTTCAATACACCTAAACAGGGATTTGCAAAGTTAAATATTACATTTTATAAATGAAAAACCCCAAATGAAGCAAGGTATAACCTGGTCAAAGTTTACTGCAAAAATTTATCTTTATATAGAGAATAGATATATACACACAAAATGAAGTTACCAAAGAGGAGGGAGGAGTGGGGAGGGGGGGTTCTAGAAAAATTATTACTCCCTCCTTACCACTTATTTGACCGGGCACGGAGCGGGTAAAATAAGTCATAAATATTTGTCTAACTATAGGAAAAGGTAGCCTAGTGCAATGCAGTCTTGCCCCGCCTTTATGCTGGTCTCACGGCTCGAACCTCGTGGTTATATGATACTAAATCCGTTCCAGTTTACGTGAAACTATTTTCTTTTTGGATCGTTCCAAAAAAAAAATTAACACTTTCTAAATTTGGAAATAATTTAGCTTAAATTTACAATTCTACCCTTAATGATAAGTTTTTATAACCACAGAAATACTGTGGTACTTTTTTATTTGTTTAGTACCACAAATCACAAAAGTAGGTTTCTTAAACTATGTGCTCAAACAGGTTCACAAAGAAGAGAAGGCTCACTTTCATTTGTCTAACTACAGTAAAATAAAAAAATTAAATTTAAATTATTTTTAAATATATAAAAATATTATTCTGTAATGTATCGCATAAATTGAGACAAATGGAGTAACACTTATGACTAAAGCAACAATGGAACAATCAACAACATATTTTGATATGGAAGCTGAAGAAGATGTTAATATGAGTGAAATGTAGCATCAAGAAACTAAATAATCAAAAAAAAACTGAACTTTTAATTAAGGAAATGAAAAGGGTAAACTTACCAAGAATCATTAAGAGCAGAGAAGTTGCAAAAATTATGATTCTAAATCCTCTTATCATTTTACTTCTTCTACTGCTTACAACTATTTTGCCTCTATATAAAATCTTGCTCTTTCTTTACTGCTCAGCTCAGAGTTCTTATTAAGCTCAGTCTATAAAAATAAAAATGAGCACTCCTTTATTTTGCAAGTACTCTTTTTTACAACGGCTCTTTGTAAAGTGTAGTACTTATATTCACTGAGCTCGAGAGGAGTGTAACACTGCAAAAATTGCAGAGAAAGACAGAGAAATAGAGGACTGTGTATTTTTGTGAATGTGTGTGTGTGTGTGTGTTGTGTCAGCGGATTCAAGAATTATTTATGAAATGGAGTTGAGGGAATTAGCTTCGATTCCGCTGCTTTAAAATAATATAAAATAATGTTATACAGTGTACAGTAGTATTTGGCATATTGGTATGTCTGTTCCCCACGGAAAGGGAAGTATAATATAGTAGTAATACTTAAATAAAAACCAAATATGTACTACTCTATTCTTCTTCTGAATCTGTATGTATGGAAAAAAAAATATCTGTGTTATGAAAATAATTATATTGTGGATGTTCATTTATTACTCTGCTATAAATAATCTTCCTGAAGAAGATTATCTATTTAGTACTCTGTTGAAGTTTATCTACAAGCAGCTGATGCAGGCAGGTTGCAAGCAGCTCAATGAAATGATTTGCAGCAGCTTCTTATCAAACAGGCAGCTTGCAAGCAGCTCATGCAGACAGCTTACAAGCAACTAAAGAAAAGCCTTACAGCTGCTTCCTTTCTTCTATCAATAGAGGAGTTTTCAGTTCATTATGTACATGAATTTGAAGTTGAATAAAATATCAATCTCCCTCTATACTTGTCTTCACTTTATTTCTTTTATAGTCTTTATTTTATAACACGTTATCAGCACGAGTTTCTAATCTTGTCATCAGTCTGAAAGTATTTTTATCAGAATGAAAATCACCAATTGACTGTAGGCAACTCGGCAAATAAAGGTGGAGTGCTTCTTCTCTCGTGACGTAATTGGTGAGTCTTTGTTATAAATTCCATTTCTCTGAACACCTGAGATGCAATCCTACTGGTATTCTTAAGATAAGTACTACTATTAAATTATGTTCTTTATGTCTTTTGAGCTTGAATAAATATATGTTTATCATATATGTTAATTACTGTCTTTCTAGCCAACTAATGATGCCGATGGCGTTTTACTTGGATGTAGTCTCGTGAAATTGAAAAAAATAATTGATTTTACTTAAGTTGTTATATGGTAGCGAGACACACCGATTTTTATATGGCAAACGATTGCGGTCTACGTACATGTATACAATAGTTATTTTGTGCTTATTATCATCCTAATTATCTTAATAATGGATTACAAAGTGGATACCATTGTTAGATCCACTTAAACTCCAGCAGAGTTTGCAAGAAATATACAACCACCAGAAGTGATTATGTTTCGTATATCTCATTGTAACTAAATTTTGTTAACCACCCGAAGTGGTATATGCTTATGACCACCAGAAGTGATAATTTAGGCTTTCTGTGGTTACAATTAAAGATAAGCTAGAAAAATATTCTCTATATTACATGCACGCCTCGATTTGCTCCTGAAGTAGTAAATATCTTAAAAGAGGTTGAAGCATCACAATTTATGTGATTAATGCGCGTTCAGATAATTATATTCGATTTCCTGAAGGATGAGAATTTTTGATAAATATTAATCCATTTCCTGAAGTGAATGTGATAATATTAATAAAGTCGTAAATATGAACGTGCTCTTGATGTAAATATATTACAATTCACTTCCAGAAGAGGTAATATGATTGAGAGAATATATACTCGATTTTTCATATTTTAATTTGCTCCTAAAGAAGTAACACAATTGAAATTTTCTCCCAAAGCAGGAAAATATTATGAAATTGTGTCTTTCTGTGCGTAAATAAAATAATGAGCTATTCAAAATTATTTTTGAAGCACATTTTCATCCCCTGTAGTGAATGAAGAAATACCACAACTCACCTCCGGAAGAGCTAGAATAACAAATGATATAAATATTATTTTTGTGGCATAAAGATCATTGTCGCACGTACCTGTTGTACTTAAAACATCTTGGATAATTTTATTAAGTATCACTCTAAGGCAAAAGCATTCTTGTAAAATATTTTCTACTACAACCACATTAATATATTATGGTTAGTTATTGAGTTCCCCTAAGGAAATAACAACTCGTGTATCTTTCCTTAAAAGATGCAATGACTATGTGATTGTCGTATTTATTCAGATGTTAATGATATTTCTCCTTGAAGGAGATATTTGTCACAAAGTTAGTGGTAAAAATATTAAAATTCTTAATTTTCGTCATTTACAAATTTAGAATTAGTTTTATATTGTTCATTTGATTATGATTTTCTCTCATGATACCAGAAGTGTCTGAGCAATATTTGATAATACAAAATGTATCAACAACTCCTGAAGAGCTAATTGTTGTCTAGAAGATACATGACACCAGTAGTGTCTGGTAAATATTAGATTGTGGATAATAAAGAAAGGCTCTCGAATAGCTTATATATAAATATGTCATTCATATTATATGATTATGGTCAAAACATATGTTGTAGTAAACCCGAAGTTTAGTGATACAAATGGCTATTATATTGAGACCACAAATGATTGGAAGACTGAAAATCTCCATGTTTCCACAATCATATGGGGTAAAATAATATGTATGTGAGAAGTTACCCGCCTTATTCTTCAAGTTGTACTATATCATGTATCACAGTAAACCAGAAGTTTACTAATGCAAAAGCAGTCACAGTAAATCAGAAGTTTTACTGAGGCAAAAGTAGCTACAGTAAATCAAAAATTTACAGATACAAAAGTAGCCACAGTAAATCAGAAGTTTACTGATGCAAAAGATTATGTCATAGTAAACCAGGAGTTTACTTAGAGATAGCACATGCTATGATAAACTTAAAGTTTTCATTTGCCATCTTTAAATGAGCTATTTGAGAATTCAGATAAGCATATACTGAAGAACTAGAAGATTCTTCAAGAATTTTCTTGTGTTGCTTGTTCTCATAATAACTTGATTATACCAGCTAAAGTTGGGACTAAAATTCGCGAATTCTAGAATATATAAAAGGTGAATATGGGCCCATTCACCTATCAAGTGAACCACTTATAGATGCATATATAAGATGGTTACATGTATGTTTATTGTCAACCTGTAGTTTGGCATTTGAAATTATCTTTCTCAATTAAGAAGATAATTCTCACATTATGAAATCAAGATAGTTCATCTTGATGATGCTGGTTTATATCCAAGCTAGTTTAGCATTGAATACCTCATATTAATGGCTAAACTATTGCTTATGAGAACAAAGCCTCATGTGTTGGTCTAAGATTTTCTAAATTGCATACAATAGCACTTGTATGCATCAGACTAACAAAATATGATAAGTCCTCCCCTCATAATTGGTTTAGGATCAGAAACCAAATATTTTTACTATCTAATAACTTTTGATGTGTGCTAAATGATTAATTTCTCTACCACAATACACAAAGATAGGTTTTCCAAAGAAGATTGAGGATATGAGTTAGTTTTTCTAATATTTGGGGGATGGAATAAAACAGCTAAAAAATATGCTATAATATGATCCTCTCTTAGAAGATAATTCAAGCAAAATGCCAGAAGCATTTGCTGATCCAAAATTAAATATCATATTTCAGCTGCAAATGCTCCTATTAAAATTAAGTCCCTGAAGGATAGAGTTTACTGTACGCATGAAGCGTGGTATACCAATCGGTTCCAAAGGTAATAATCCTTGAAAAGAATAGGAGCAAATGATCAAAATGATCATAATAAGGAGGAAATAAGCTCTGGAAGAGCCCACGACATAACATTTCATGAAACTCCGGAAAAAGTTCAGGTACCTAAAAATAAAGAAAGTGATGAGATCTCAACAAGTTATGTCACTTGCGAACTGATATAAAATGATCGTCGACGATATATTTGATACAATATAGTGCATAATATTGTAAAAGATTGTGAGGATCGGACTTGTAGTCCAGACACCTGAAGATGTCATGCCATCTAAATGCAAGGCATAACCTATATGACTCATTTGACTAAGTCTATATGAAGATCCCTGAAGGATTTAAAATGCCTGAAGCATATAGTTCAAAGCATCGTGAAATGCATTCAATCAGAGTACAAAGATCTTTGTACGGTTTAATTCAATCTGGGCGCATGTGATATAATCGCCTCACTGAATTGATGAATGAAGGTTATGTAAATGAAGGCATTTGTCCATGCATTTTTACAAAGAACACAACATCATAGCTTGTTATACTTGTTATTTATGTTAACGACATAAATATCATAGGAACTCCAGAAGAGCTCCAAAGGGAAAAACTTTGTCTTAGTCTGCAAATTGAATATTTAGCAGACGAGATCTTTATCCATCAATCTGTCTATACAGAAAAGGTCTTAAAACGCTTTTACATGGACAAAGCGCACCCATTAAGTACACCAATTGGATGTTCGATCACTTGAAGTGAATAAGGATCCGTTCTGACCTCCAGAAGAGGATGAGGAACTCCTTGGTCCTGAAATACTCTATCTCAGTGCAATTGATGCACTTATGTTCTTGTTAATGCTACAAGGTCTGACATAGCATTTTCTGTTAATTTACTAGCAAAATATAGCTCTTCTCCTACATGGAGACATTGGAATGGGATTAAGCATATATTGCGATATTTAAAGGGAACTCTTGATATGAGTTTGTTTTATGCCAACAAAGGTAGTGCAGATCTTGTGGGTTATGCAGATGCTGGTTATTTATCCGATCCCCATAAAGTTCGATCTCAAATCGGGTATGTGTTTACATGTGGAGGTATTGTCATATCATGGCGCTCCACAAAGCAATCTATTGCTGTTACTTCTTCAAATCATGCTGAGATAATAGTTATTCATGAAGCAAGTAGGGAATGCATATGGTTGAGATCAATGATTCATTTTATTCGAGAAAAATATGGGTTGAAATGTGATAAAAGACCCACAATTTTATACGAAGACAATGTTGCATGCATAGCCCAATTGAAGGGAGGATTTATAAAAGGAGATAGAACGAAGCACATTTCACCAAAATTATTCTATACACGCGATCTTCCGAAAAATGGTAACATTGATGTGCAACAAATCCGTTCAAGTGACAATCCAGCAGATTTATTCACTAAATCTTTACCAACTTCAATTTTTGAGAAGATGGTATACAAGATTGGAATGCGGAAACTTAAATATTTGAAAT